CAATGTCTTGTATCCAATGCATTACATCAATGGGCAGTTCACACCAGCATAGTGGACATGTGACGGATGAATCCCTCTGTGAAAGATTACTCTTTCTTTTCAGGCCGACACAGAATCATTTCAAGGATAGATTTTTTTTTTTTAGATCTAAAGACCTTTATCAATATGTGCGTAATTTCTATTATATACCTCCTTTCAAGTTTCAATTAAATGTGAGAGGCAGTTAAAGGCTTTATAAGAAATAATAATATTCATATGAAGCGCCTCTCTGACTGCAATTGTCAGCAACTTGGGGCGGCTGTGGCTCAGTTGATAGAGTCGTCGTCTCTTAACCAGAAGGTCAAGGGTTCAATCTCCAGCTCCTGCAGTAACATGTCCGCTGTGTCCTTGGGCAAGACACTGAACCCCAAATTGCTTCGTCGGCGGTATATGAATGCGTTTGAATGGCATTAGTATCTAATGTGAAAATTGGGTTAGGGTTAGGGTAGGCTAGGTCTCAATACATAGCAACCACTGCAATCACTCAGTGAATGGGTGTGAATGGGTAAGTGTGACATGCAGTGTAGAAAGCACTTTGAGTAGTCAGAAGACTAGAAAAGCGCTCGACTCAAGTTCATTTACCGTTTAAATTTAAATTAATGCCCCTATTACACCACACAAAAATTGATATAGCTGCAACGGCCATCTACTTGTAGATATAATGGCGTTCTCCCTTAAAGTGGAACTGAACAATCTGTAGCAATATTTGCACTTACATAATTATTTTTTAAATCTATTTTTCAAAGTCTAAAACTTATTTTTACCCTCATTTTAGACAAGGAGACTATTTATTTGTGATTTTATTGGTCCTTATAGCTTTCTAAAATATGTTCTGATTGGTTGATTCTTTAGCAATATTTTTTTTATCATGTTTTAGAAGGTTTTAGCTAGTTTGGTAAAAAAACAAACAAAAACAAACAAAAAAACTTTAAACTTAGTTTAAAAAACATAGTCAGACTTTCACACTTAGGCCACTGTTAATATGGTTAAAGCTTGATGTGCAGGTGTCCTGGCGGATCTCTTACATTCAAATATTTTGATTTCTCACTGTGGAAGTTCGGCACCATTGTTTTACAAATGTTGTCTGTATGGAGAGCGGTACAGAAGCTATATGCTATGCCTTTGTCCACACTATATTAGCAGACAAGATTATTAATAGCCGGCCAACCTATTCAGTTTCCATGCTGGAGAGAAAAAGGTATCAATATGTTTGATGATCTTTGGAAATGAAGGTTTCCAGGAGTCCGATAAGTCACATCACCCCATTCAAAGAAGAAGCCAGTTTTTCCAGCAAAAATTAACATGTTTACAGCCTGCTACAAAAAAATTATATTGGTCTGACATGTTATTGTCCTCATGGGCACACACTGTACTATATACTTTTGTTTTTTTTAATGTATTTTTATAAAGAGTTATACATAGTAAGGCGCAAGGCTTACCTGATTGGCAGGCATGATATAGTGGTTTTTCAGGAGGCTTAAAACCATCCTCAGCTCCAGCTCTATAAGCCTGTTGTAAGGTTGACTGAAAGTAATGGTGAGACAGGATTTACAGTGTGGTGGCTGCTGCCGGTGAGCCTCCAGAGCCCCCTGCAGAAACAGATGGGTGAGGTCACTCGGGTTTGTACATACAGACCCCTGAATAGATGGTTTGTGGAGGACTGATATCCTGATATATTCTTGACCCAGCTTTTGACTTAGATAAAGTCTGGACTAATATATTGTTAGCATCTAGAAACCCTGTTCACCAGCAAATACATTACATCACAGAGTCTATTTAAATGCTGAACAATTGGAATTGATTGATTAATTTGGTTAGCTCTGGTATGTCATTTGGCATCCTGTTTGTCTGTTAACTTCTTGTTACTTTTGTATATGAATGTAATCGTCTAAATGCTGCTGTGACTGTGTTTGTTTCCTTTATATTGTCTGGCTTCTTTCAATGACTCGTTAGGCTGTGAAACTGAATTGCCCTTCGGGAATTAATAAAGTCGTCTGAATGTGAATTTTGTGATCTTAGTAGGCTGTTGGTACTGTTTTACACATGTTCTGTGAATGCCACCCAGTGGCCATATTCTGGGGGACTGTCGCCTCCAACTTATCTTAGATATCTGAGATCATTTTAAATCCTTTGCCTGTTGCACTTATTTTAAATGATCTCTCTAACATATATGCTTAATAACAATGTCAATAAAATGCATCACTAACTAGCATTGCTACACGCTGAAAGCCCCTACATTCACTTTCTATTTCTATTCAATTAACTAACTTTGACTTTGGATACCAAGATCTATACATATCCTGAATACATGGGGACAAAGAGGCAACTTCTGTCTGTACATCTAAAAAGCCTTCTTAGTTGATCCTCTCTTGGGGCAGGGGGGTTTGGGCAGTGGGGTAAGACATTTTTTATTAATTTACCTTAATTTCTAAATTAATGATTAATTATTTTTTCTTTCTTTTTTATTGTCATTATAGAGCAATACGTTTGACATTTATACTGCTAGAAATAAAGCAGATTATCTATCTTTTGTTTTGTATCAATGTGAATGCAAATGTCAAAAAATGTAAACATCTGATTTGAAAAAAGATTAGAAACTGTATTTATGGATCAACGCCATTCATTTATTTTTGAACAAGGAAAAGTCTTTAAATGTATAATTTGTATATATATGTCATTCATGCTCTCAAGATCTTAAACTCAGAGGACTATTTGCTTAAGCAGATAACAATACATTGGTTTAACAGCCATACCCTCCAGGGACCACTAACAAAAAATATACTGGCACTCAAATTAGCAGGAAATTTCCACCCTGTGTCAGTCGGTGAAATGTTCTCGCCCTTGAAAAAGTTCTGTTGGATCATTATTGTATTTCATGGCAAAATGAGAAAAGGTGTTTGTTTGTTTTTAGAAAGAAAAATGTGTAAACTTTTCAAGTTCCACAGATTTTCGGTATCATGATAATACATCAAAATGTACTATACATATTATAGGTTAAAAAAATCAACGTTACAGTATAAATGAAAGATGTAATGTACACTGTCAGTCTGTCATTCATTGCTTTAATGAGATCTAAATTCTGTTTAGTGCATTATGTTTTAAGCCTTGGATGGCTCAAAACACAAGTTTATTGAAAGGAGAACAGTATCTGTTTTCACCACAATTGAAAATGATGAACAATTGTAGCATTGAATTCCTTTTGCAACACTTTCTGGATTTAGAGTTGGAGTTTACATCGTTTCTTTTCTTCAAGTTCTTCCTTGTGGTATTTTTTTCTCAAAAAGCAAATGTCTAAGTAGCCTATGTTAGAAGAAATTGCAAAGAAAAAACAAATGTCCTTTCCTAATTCTTTCCGTTGTTCTATTTGCTTCAAATGAGGCATGTGCATCCCACAATGTGCCTCACATTGTCACACTGCAGGCTACTCCAAAGCAACCGATCATAGAGGCTTCCAATAGATGGAGCTTTTGAACAAGATGATAAAACTGTACAACTGGCCATGTTCTCTCAGGAAGCACACAACCCATTTATGTTAGATGTCACCTATGAATCATGCATTTAAATCATCCTGCAGATTGAGACACTATTGAAAATGATAAATAATTTGAAAGTCTGCCCCATTAAAAATCCCACACAAAACAGATTAGGGGTTTAGGAGTGTGATTGCCTCTGACAAACAAACATAATACCCTCCACTCCTTGAATGCTTTCCTGTGACAGATGTGTGCGTGTTTTTTATTCACATTTTGTATTTAGTCATGGTGGGGAATGTGAGCTTTCATTTCCTTTGTGAGACTGTAAATAAACCGAGTTTATCCGGGAGTGACTACATGAAACATGTAGTTAGTAAACCTCAGTGCCTGTCATGGACTCTTCACTTCTATTAAATAAATGCAATTTCAATCATACAATTTTAGCATGATTGATTTTAAATAAGCTCTGATCATTTTTTTCAACATTTAGTGTGTAGATGTAAAAAAACAACATTCAATTAATAGGGGATGGTGAGAAATAGCAAATATGTTTTACCCTTATTTGTTCCGCAGTTTTAAGTCATCCCTTCTTTCTCAGGCTCTCTTGGACTTGGCACATGTGTTGGGAGTGGTTGAATTCACTTTTAAATATGCCTTTTCTCTGGAGATCCCAGCCTCTCGTGATGTGACCTGCATGACTAATTCCATTTAAAGGGGAATAACATGCATTAGGGATCTCACTTTTCTGCCCTACATTTGCATAATTTTGTTTGGCAACTTGGAAAAGGGCCATTAACAGCACTAAGACAGGCACTGTAAAGGATAGGGACAGAGGCAGATCAATACTTCATTTCAACATCTCTAGCAGTGTCGGCGTCCAGATCAGGAAACATTCACTAATTTAAATTCGTGCAGGAGTCCTGAGATGCTATCATTATTTCCTGATAAGAACACATTCTTGTGCTGCCTCTCTTAATCCCTGACAGACATGCTTGCTCAATCAATAACGTTTTACTTTTTTTGTTGTTTAGACAAGATTGATTGCCAGGAGCTGCTTGTGCTCAGTTCCACATCTCTGACTCCTTATTATTGTCTCAATTAGGTTTCTGCTATAGACCATGTTGGTGGAAGCATTACAAAGTGGTGACCCCCCCGTGATTCAAATCAAGCAACTGATGTTAAAAAGAACAACCTTTGACACCGACTTTATTCAGAATGAAAGCACCGTCCAAACAAGTGGATTAAGCAGGAGGCGGGCTGTCTGCGGGTAGTGAAGGGACGACTGGGGGTAGTTGCGACTTGCGCCAGTGAGGAGGAAATAATCACAGTGTTACCTTCTCATGAATTATTAAGTACCCTGTGCCTATTTTAGTCAAGCTCGAAATGCTGCATTTCATCAGTGGGTCTGAGTCAGTGTGCAAGGTTGTTTTTCCTTTGACAGCTGTATTACTGCTGATAAGCAAGACTGTGTGAGCTGATCAAGTAGTGAGACAAGCGTTCGGAGCAGTAGCAGCACAGCAGCAGCGCTCTAGTCACCAGGAGCTGTGGCGGCAGAAGCAGCAGCAGCAGCACTATCAGTCATAGAAGAGGAAGCAGCGGCAGCAGCAGCAACAAACTCCGTCCTGTCTTTTTTCCCCTCTTTCCTGAGTAGTTTCCTGCTCGGAGGAAAAAGCCAAAGAAGCGGGAGGGAAGTGATTCAGGGCTGATAGCTGCCACCAAAAACAAAACCAAAACGCAGACCTGGCTGCCCCCATGCCTATCGAATTTGTTTGCAAAATCAAATTTGCAGAGGAGGATGAGAAGCAGAAAAGCAAGCAGGATGGGGACAGGGAGAGCCTGATTGAAGAGAGCTGCACACCTAAGGCTAAGGACTTGGCCAGGTTTGCTAACTCCTGTTCCCTTCATGGAATTAACCACATCTTTGTATCTGGTCGCTTGGGCATCCGGCAGACTATCTGGGCTCTTGCTTTTTTGACTTCACTGGCACTGTTTCTGTACCAAGCGGCTAAGTGTGCCATCTCTTACCTGGAGCACCCTCATATCACAGCTCTGAATGAAGAGGCAACCCCAGAGATGGTTTTCCCTGCTGTTACCATCTGCAACATCAACCGCTTTCGTTTTTCTGCGCTAACTGATGCAGATATCTACCACCTGGCTAACTTGACAGGTCTGCCCCCGAAAAACAAGGATGGGCACAAACCAACTGATTTAATGTATCCTGCTCCTGACATGCAGGACATCTTCAACAGGACAGGACATCAGTTAGAAGAGATGCTCATGAGCTGCAATTTCAGTGGACAGAACTGTTCTGTTGAGGACTTCTCCGTGGTAAGTGAAAAAGTTTCTTGAAGTTCTGGATTTGCCTGACTTCATGGCAAATAATGTATGGTCTTTATTTAAACTTTTTTCATTGAGGTAAAACTTTCTCAACTTAACATTTCTCAATTTTAAATTTCAAACATTCAGAGGAATCCTACAGACTTTGCGAGAAATGTGTTGTTCATTCAAAACCACAGATAAGCTTTGAAGTAAAATAATCCACAAAGGAAAGAGGAATTGAAATACTTTTTGTGCTTGTATCCATATCCAGGGTCCATGTGCTTCTGATGATACACATCTGCATGCAAAGAATCATGGTTATGGCTCCGTCATTGAGCCAATAATTGTTTTTCGTCTTGCTAAGTTTTAAGGAGCAACAGTGCTTCTTTTCAGTCCTTTGTTTCAGCCTTTACCAGAATCTATAATGTCAAAGAACAAAGGCTGCTGCTGAAGAAGAAAAACAGACAGCTGTGGTTTGTGTCTGGATACTTTTCTATGGAAAACTGTTTTAATGCTACCTCCAAACTCCAGGAGCTGAGAGTGAGAGTGCATGGCAACAAAATTGTCATCGAAAATAGCAGTCTCTTCTTTCTCTCTTTACCATGTCTGCCTTTGCTCTAAATCTCTCTTTTTGACATTGCAGAGCAGCTGCCTCTCTCTCTCTGAGCTCTTGTACCTTTCAGCAGAGTTGGAGTAATGCTTCTTCAACGTTGTATTTCAATCTTGCTGCTGTTAAGATTAAATATTTAAGGACAGACATACATGATTTTTGCATTAGCCAGATTGACTAAAAGGAATGAAACAATTTCCATGAGAGGGAAAGTGTGTGTGTGTGTGTGTGTGTGTGTGTGTGCGTTTGTGTGTGTGCGTGTGTGTGTGTGTGTGTGTGTGTGTGTGTGTGTGTGTGTGTGTGCGCGCGTGTGTGTGAGTGAGATAAAGGGGGGGTCAGGTGAAAGAGGGAGAATTTGTGCCTGTGCTCTGTGCACTATTTATTAAAGGCACTGTCCTTGCAGGAGATGGATTTCCCCATCCCTCCTGCAGGATTAAGAATATGCAATTGCTTTAGTGATGATAAAGTGTGGTTGTCAAGTCTTAATAGGGTATGTTGAACACTGATATGCTCACCTTCCTGAGACCTAAAGATTCTGTCTTATCACAGGAATGACACTACACTACCTATAATGTGTGAAAATACACCGAAGATCTCCCTGTTTTCTCATCTATTCTAACAGTGTCATGAAGTATTTAATTTTGGGGTTTTTTGTTGTTGTCTTAGAGTAGGTCCTTACATGGAGACTAAGAATTACCTTAGACATTGTAATGGTAGCCGCATATAGGAAATGTTCTCAGTTCTATCACGCAAAAGGAAATGTCAGGCTCTTTGGGGTAGCTAAAAAGTTTAAATTCATAATGAAGCAAAAACATAATTGTTAAAGTTAATATTATGATTTAACATATTTTATAGCGATGTCCTTTGACACTCTGTCTTCCCTAAATACGTTAATTAGAAGACAATTCTGACAACCAAGGAATGTCCACCCTGTGACAGTCTATGAAAACATCTTATTGCGCCCTTTAGATGTAGACTGACTTCATCACAGATTAAGATCCTGTTAAAAGTTCCCTAAGATGCTGTTTCCTCTCTGTTGGTTATGTGATCTGCATTTTCAGGGGCTGTCAGTTGGATTTGTTACAGGCTACTTGCTGCCACCACGCATGACAAATCACTTACTCCGAGTCCTTGTGGGGAACACAACTGGGACTGCATAGGGAGAGAGTATGAAAGGACAGGGAGTTGCGGTACGAAGTAGGAAAGCAAATGTAAAAACTAGAGTTCAAATAAAACACATTTGCTCATTTAGTCCTTCAAATCACAATTTATTTATTTTTAGAAAGAAAGCTATTATTAGTAGTAATGTGCTATCAATCACATACCCAGATTCAAAAACATGAAAAGTCTCTGGCGCACAAGATCATTCATTTTCCTCTCATGGGTCGCCTGTTTATGACCGGCTTCTATGAATGTGTTTCCTTTGGACTGATCATTCTGGGTGTTCCAGATTTTTGATTTTCTTAACAGCTACATGGATGTGAGTCTCTTGGGAGAAATGCAAGTTTGTTTTTTTAACAATCCAGCTTTCATGTAGACAGGGTGTGCAAAAGCCCTTAATTAACATTTTGTTTCATTATTTCATGGAGCTCAGATATTTAGCTCATTACATTTAATGGATTTAGTTAAAACTGACTGTCTTAAATATGGGCTTTAAAATGCTCGAATAATTACAAGAAAATGATTTGTACATCATTTTTCTTCAATTTTAATTTATTGATTCATTACAGAAAATCAGGAATTGTTTTTAGTCCATTCACTGCTCAAAGGATTTAAATAAGCAATATTGTTTGGCTGCTGTAATGTATGGGAAATATATAATCACATAGAAAAGAGATTTGTTTACCTCCTTCCAGCATTGTGGACTGACATAATTATTTGATGTAGTTAATAAGGCCATTCTGTATAATTAAAGATTACATTATTGACTCGGATAAATCACATAAGATAAAGCTGATTCAACAAGCCATGAATAAACAGATTATTTTTCTTCCAGTCCAATAACTGTTCATCTATTGTGTGGTGCTGTCGCACAGAGCAGCAAGCCCTTTGGCTTTTTTTAAACACAGCTCTGAATTGGTTTGCTGTGACTTTTAGCTGTGTTTGCAGCTGCATTATCAGATTCTGCCTTCAGCAAGGACAGATCCCTTCTGCATATATTCATGGAGATAACTAAACAGCTATAGGGTGACATGTGAGGTGATCTATAAAACCATGGGTTAACGGGGACATCACTGAAAAACTCTCCACCTCCAATCTGTCATTACACTGACTGAAGCCCCATCGTGGGTGTATGGATAATGAAATGCTACATTTGTGGTTCATTTCTCATAGTTATCCTATATTTTAAGTGAAATAAAAAGATAGGACTAAAGGATGAAAGATAAATTGCCCAAACATAAATAGCAAAACTCAGAAAACATTGCACATAATAAAAAAGCACTTAGCACAAGAGTGAGAGTTGTAGATTACCTGTAGGATTTGTTCAATCAGTGGATGACATTGAGCTTCAATCTAAAGGATGAGTGCTATGGACATGTCTGGTCCTGCTGTACCTCTTTAGAAACATCTTTTTTTGCTAAGTGAAAGCCAGGAAGGTCCAAGGTAACAGCACTTTTCAGTCTCTTACTGATATGGTCTGATGTGTTTTTCAAGCCGACTCATCCGTAACAAGATTCAACAGTGACATCATCTCCTTTATGTTAGATGTGATCTGTGGGTCTTGTGAAGACTTCCTTGTACATGCTTGTGTGTGTGTGTGTGTGTGTGTGTGTGTGTGTGTGTGTGTGTGTGAGATATTTGCAGATGACTGTGAGAGTGACATCTACTTCCCTGTTTGGGTCCAAATTCTGCACTCACCTAAACAACATACCCACCCCCATCCTCACATACTCATGTTTTTCCGAGCCAACCGCCTTCCCCTCTGGTAGAGAGTGAAGAGTGTGGGAGCGTGAAAGTGACTGGCTATCTTGACTGGCTTCGTCTCAAACAGCCTGTCAATTAGCCACCTATACTGTTCCAGCGCTGTGGGTGTCCCTGCAAGCTTAGAATGCTGTATGATATCTGATCCAAACCTGGAGGCCAGCACTGAACAATTTTACATCTTCCACATTCCATAAACAAATAGACACGCTGCCTACTCTTGTTTCTTTTTTTTCTTTCATGCAACATGCAAAAAAGAAATAACTGAACACTCCTGTATCTTTGAGGGTAAAGGCGGGACTGATGCTTTTGCAACCCACTTCAGTCCTGCGGTACTCATTCCCCACCTTCCCCCTCTCCTTTTCCTCCAGCATATCAGACGAAGATGAATTACGGTGCAATTGGTCGGCTGCTTCTCCTGATATGCATCAGCACTGTCTAATCAGATGAAGCCCACCTGTGACCATCCCCTGGATAACACTGGTATACAAACAGTTTATATTCAAGAGGATTTACCTTTTCTATCACTCCCTGAGATGGTTTTAAGACCTCTCGCTATATGCTACTGTTTGGAGCGCTGTGTTTGATGAGGATAGTCTGTGGCTCAGGGATGGCTTTTAACTCAATGATAAAGGCTTTAGATGTGGTGGTACTGCTGAACCCCCCTCCCTGACCCCTGGGAGTCTTTTACTCACACAGACATTTGTCTCTTTCTGACAAGTCATACACCAAGCTGTTGGTAGTGTTAATGCGGCTGCCACATACACAGACACACACAGACACACACAGACACACACACACACACACACACACAGAATTGTGTGTTTAGAGTGTGTATAGTGTAGATAGAATACTTCCCTACACACGCACACACAGGTTCACTCACAGATTGAGAGAGTTGGCTTGCAAGATTGATCATGACTCCTGACTGGATGCCCCTCCCTCCCTGGAGGATCAATACATCCCTCTCTCAGATTGTTTCCCTGCCCTTCCTTCTCAAAGCCTGTTGTGACTAATTATCCTGTGCCTGTGTTTTGGGTCCAGTCTCAGCTGCATTAGTTAATGCTGTAAGAGTTGTGAAAGAATTGATCTTTGCAACAAGATATCTATTTTTTTTTTATGTATATCCAGCCACAAGTAATCAATATACAGAGCAATATGAGCATTTTAATTAAGTTAAATCCAAAAATTGACAAGGATCTAACTAAAACAAGTCAAAAGGCATTTTTGATAGAGACTGCACATTTGAGGTCTGTTTGATTTCCTCCCAAAAAAAAAAAAATATTTTATTGGGATCGAGGCAAGAAGGAAAATGCATCTTGTTTTATTATTTTGTGCAAATGAAAGTGTGTCTACATCTTTTACACCTTGCTGGTTCTAATCTGCTGTTGTGGCATTTGATGGCTAGGTCCAATGTTTTGGGCTAACTAAACCTATCAATACTTCCTTATAAAGAACTGCCTACAGCTTAAAAAAC